CTGCTCCTCTGGCGTCAGCGCCGACCCCACTGCACCCCGCCTGCTCGCGCTGCCCGCGGCGCCCAGGATGAGCGCAGACTCACAGCCGGGCCTTCGGGTCCCGGTCGGGCGAGGGGTGCCGGGCTCGCACCGCGGGGCAGCTGGCCCCTGGGGAGAGCGGCGGCGCGCCGGAGCTGCAGGCCTTTGGGTTCTGGCCTTGGCCGTCCATGTACTTGGTGACCTTTGGGGGAGCCTGCTCCTCTGGCGTCAGCGCCGACCCCACTGCACCCCGCCTGCTCGCGCTGCCCGCGGCGCCCAGGATGAGCGCAGACTCACAGCCGGGCCTTCTCCGGGGCTGCCTGGCGCCGATGTCTGTGTTTAGGCTTTTGGGGTGTCTGGACAGTGTCGTCATGGCCATCCGCCACCCCTGACTACATGGCCATTGTGAGCCCCGACTCTGGGGCGTGCAGTCGTTTTCTCACCCTTGTTCTGGTCTCCCAGATGCGCGGTCCGTAGGGTCACAGCTCTCCTGAAAGACTCTCTCCCTGCTGGGCACCGTCACCCGCGCCCTAGCGTGTATCTTGCGGGGCCCGCGCCCAGGTACCCTTTCCTCTTACCAGGGTGTGGTTGCCCCCATTGCGAGATCCCCTTCCGCACGAGGGGAGAATGCAGGCTTCTTCCCTGTCAGTTTGCTTACTTTACAGAACAGTCGGCTGCCTCATCTTCCCCGAGTAAGGATGTGGCGGCCTCTGTTGTGTACACAGTGGTCACCCATGCTGAACCCCGTTATCTGCATCGGAGGAACAGGGACATTAAAATGCCCGTGCTGCGTCCCCTCTGAAACAGCCTGGTCCAGCCCTGTGCTGTCCATTCGCATGCAGGCTGGGAAGCGTAGTGAAGCTGACCACCGGGGCCTGTCATTCTCATCACCTCACCTTTGTGATTCTCAAGACTTTAACTCACTGTTTTAATACCGCTCCGTGCGTCCGGTGAGACTGGGGGCGTGCCTGGGCCCTGCGTGCCACGGTCACTGCGTGAGCAAGCCCCGCTGCAGCCAGGCTGGCTTCCTGCAGCTGCTGTAGCTTGACGTTGGTAAACCAGGTGTCCCAGGAGCATGAAGCGTTCCCTTGCTCTGTGTTTAAAACGTACGGAGTTTCACAGCCCTGGTGTCTTCCCCATGTGAAGTCCTCATGTATCGCGTAGGAGTATGCAGGTTACGTGTGATACGCACATCGCTGGCTTTTAATTTGGTCTTTTAGAAATTCTGATCTGGCCCCAACTTGAGGAATTTTAAAGCGCCCAGGAGATTCTAGAGAACCACTTCTCGGATCAGACCGTCTCACACAAATGGCCTCTTGTCTTGAGGCCCATGGGCAAAGGTTGAAGATCCTGAGGCAGCGCTCGGTGGGAAGTGACATGTGGTCACCACAGATGACATGCGAGTGGGAAGGAGCCACGGGTGGGCACGGGTCTGTTTGACTGGCAGAAGCACCCTCCAGTGAGGCTGTGGGAACGCTTCGTACCGACAAATTTCAGGGATCACTGAGCTTATATTAGCAGAGGGTGAGCTTCATTTATGTTGGTCACAACTTGCTATGATCTTTCAAGCTTTAAGTTGAAGTGCATTTTTGCGGATGTCAATGTGGGCTGAAAGCATTTGTCTTTGTTTTCAGCGAGATCTACTAAATACCAATATCAGTGGGCTCACCACATGTGCTATGGATTAAAGTTAAAGAAGCAAAGTGAAATGAAGCCACATCGAAGGTCTTTATTATAACAAATTTAGGTTTTTGAGTGATTCACCCAGAACTTACACTCCAACAATTAGTTTCTTTTTAAGTCTAATTCCTTTCATGGTTTTTTCTCCATACACATTAGTCTTTATCATCTATGTTATTCCTTTTGGTTCTCATCAAGGCCAAGGAGCCCTGATCAGTTTATTGCAAGGAAAAGAGAACGTTGTTGAGAGACAGAGATGGGTACAGAGAAGAACATATATTCAGAAATCTTGCAGATTAAGTCAGCGAGCAGTAATTGAACAGTTTTCATCCTTTGGAGAGACTTTTGAAAACGGTACAGTATCCCAACCTCATAAGTACCCCAGCTAAAGGATGAAAGGCATGCTGTACCCCGCATATCTCCAGTAAGGGCTGTCTCTGATGGGGGTACATCCTCGTCACATCTGCCACCAGGCACTGACCCTTCATTTCCGAGTGGCTTGGATGTTTGCCGTCAGGCAGCAGGGATGTGGAGAGGACAGAGCGGGTCAGGGAGAGATGTTGGCAGCAATTGCTATGCCGTCAACTGCAGGCTCAATCCCTTTTTTTTTTTTTAAGATTTATTTGTGCATATAGAACTGGGGTGCTGGCCAGAGGTACAGGGGCTGTGAGAGGCCTCACCAGAGACAGAGCGGGGAGCAAAACAGGCAGAGGGACAAAGTACACTGCTGAGGGGAACACGGAGAGACAGGAGAGGTCTGCCGCGCCCTGTGGGGCGCTCCCTGGCCGGGGATGAAACTCACACTGAAGTGGCCGCAGTCAGCTTGCAGTGCTACATCCTAACCCGTTGCACCACAAGGGAGGACCAGGAGACTCAATTCTACCCACATTTTTGCTACAAGTGAGCTGAGTGGTAGGCACATTCCACAGTGTGTCACTACAGAGTCACAGAAGAAAAGCCAATTGGAGCACAACTTTGATTCTACAGCGTTCACTACCGCACAGTGCAGGGCTTTGGCGGGTATATCGTAAACATGCAGAGGTGAGAAATAAAGTCCAAGTAAAATAATGATATAAAAGAAAGAAGCCTGGGAGGAATAAAGCAGCAAAATGAGTGAAATAACATCTCGGTGTTTTTCTACGCAGCACAGGACATAACATCACAGTCCTTACTAAGACGGCAAAGTGAATGTCAGCTAGGTAGGTGATAGCCAAATATAGATAAGAAGAAACCTCAGTTTGCAGAGTGGGGTGAATGAGAGAAGACACCAGGAAGTGGTGTTTCCACATTGAAAACACTGCCACGTCTCTGCAGAACAAGCTCAGCACTGGTGTAGCCGTGTGGGTCTCTTCTCGCCCGTCCGGGAAAGACAGGGCACAGCCAGTGACGGTCAGGCGCACGAACACTGGAGAGCCCCCTCATGGCGTAAGGGGCGTCGGCACTTGAGTAATACGTGCTTTGAATCTCCAGTTTCAGAAGGCCGAATGGTAACACGGAATTATGAGCAGTCACTGGGGAAGAAAAAGTCAATGAGGTTCTAGAAGGTGCTATTTGACAGAATCTAATACAAAAACAACAGCCGTCCTATGTGTTTTGGGAATAGTAAAATACAGCGCATCTTTAGGGAGCCACATCAGTGTTAAGCTAGGCACCATTGTCCTCTGGCTGAGTCAGTGAGCTGTCAGGGACTAGCGGTCACCCTGCTGAACAGCCCCTCCAGGGCCCCCTTCACGTCCTTGTTCCTCAGGCTGTAGATGAAGGGGTTCAGCATGGGGGTGAGCACCGTGTACATCAGTGAGGCAATTAAGCTCCTCTTGGAGGCGTGGGCCACAGCAGAAGTGAGGTAGACGCCCAGGGCTGTCCCGTAGAACAGGGAGACCACACAGAGGTGGGACCCACAGGTGGAGAAGGCTTTGTGCTTGCCACCAGTTGAGGGCATCCTTATTAAAGAGGAGACAATTTGAACGTAAGAAAAGAGGATCCCGGTGAACGGGAACACCCCCAGGAGAGCAGTGGCCACATACAAGCAGATGTTATTGACGAGTGTGTCGGAGCAGGCCACCTTGAGAATCTGCGCTAAGTCACAAAAGAAGTTCGGGATCTCTGTGTCCATACAGAATGTCAGTCTCATGGCCAACAGAACGTGGAACATGGAGATCCACAAAATGATGACCCAGGACACCAAGACCAGGAGGCCACAGATCCGGGGGCTCATGATGACCATGTAGTGCAGGGGGTGGCAGATGGCCACGAACCTGTCGTAGGCCATCACGGTCAGGAGCATATTGTCCATTCCAGCAAATATAAAAAAGAAATACACCTGAGCGAGGCAGCCCGCGTAGGAGATGGCCTTGCTCTGCGTCTGGAGGTTCACCAGCATCTTGGGGACGGTGGTGGAGGTGAAGCAGATGTCCGCCAGGGACAGGTTGCAGAGGAAGAAGTACATGGGGGTGTGCAGGCGGGGGTCGGCGCCGACGGCCAGGATGAGGAGCAGGTTCCCCAGCACGGCCGCCAGGTACATGGCCAGGAAGAGCCCGAAGAGCAGCGGCTGCAGGGCGGGGTCGTCGGAGAGGCCCCGGAGCAGGAACTGAGCTGCGCCCGAGTGATTTCCCGGGTCCATGCAGTTCCTGTGATACCTGAGGAGGAAGGCAAAAGCGCATTCAAAGACCAGCCTGTGGCACCTTAGCTAATCACGCCTTTGGCCTTCACACGAGAATGGACACCCTCCGCGCTATGTAAAGGGTTTCCAGTAACAGAGATTCACTCGGTCATTTGCAGCAGTGCACATTAATATAATTATTTGGACTTTTATAAGTGAGCAGACGTCTCTTCATTACCCACTCGCAGGTTATAACTGTCCCATGCAAATCTGTGTACCTCAACCGTTTACTTCTTTCATATAACCCTTCTGAAATAGTGCAAACCGTTGACATCTTTTCCTTGATAACCTCCATGCTGCCATCATTCAGTAACTCGGCCACATGACTTACACCTAGTTCGCAACCCGGGAACCATAGTTATATGATTCGATGCTTCCTCTTCCTGTGAGCGCTGTCTCTTGTGACTTACTGTCTTCCTAGACATGGTTTTCTCTTTTTGAGATTAAAAATGCCTTGGTATACTGTGAGAAATTGGTATATAGTAACACTTACCATTACTGTAACTATGGGGCTATTGTTATAAGTCTAATTGTTACCATTTTATGACAATCACTTGTGATATGTAACTCTGTAAAGCCTAGCGCAAAGTAGGATTTAGTAAATGTGATCTTGAATGGCATGGAATTTCATTACTCACTGTGTCTATGCCCTGAAGAAAGTTATTTAACCTACTTAGCTGCAGCTACATCATCCCTACGAGGCCCTTTTGTAAGACGATGAGTGAATGAGAGGAGATGATCCATGTAATTTTTCTGGAATGTCCCTAAGCCATACGGTGGACTCTCATACATGAGAGTTTCTGTTTTTAGCATCGCAGTAACTCGGTCCTGTATGGCTATCCTGTGTGAACATTCTAGTGATTGGAGCGGCCATTACAGATGGCACAAGGCAGGTGTATACTGTGTGAATGCTATTTAGCATGCCTAGTTCATAAAATTCCTGTAATTCATTTTTAGAGGCTTTAGGCAGGTGGATTCTTCTGAAACGGAGGGAAATGTATCTGGACCACATAGATAAGAGAAGGAACTCTCTTATTTTTATCTCAGCCCATTCAAGTAAAAACAGCATCGTGAGGGTCTGTTCTCATTTCCAGCTTCCTGAGTGTAGATACTCAAAATCATTGGAGCTAGCTGGGGAAAATGATGAATAGATGATAGATCAATACGATTTCAAAATTCATAAATGAATCATCCAAAAAACTCAAAGGCCAATATAGAAGTAGGATATAAATATTCACATCATACATGATAGTATTAGTCTTTATAGGATGATAATAAATTATAATATATAGAGAAAAAGCAGATGAGTTGGGCCAAAATTGGCTCCTGAGAAATAAGAATATTTCAGCAATAAAAAGAATGAGTAATTGTTATGTGGAGTAAAAAAAAAAAAAAGACAAATATTTTGGACTGAGAGGGCACAATCTGTCTTTGTTGATGGGCTTGACTCAAGTAATAGAACAGTGAAAATAAATAAAATGTGCATGTATCTATCTTAAGAGAATAGTTCATCATGAACACGAAATAACCATTCTGGCAATAGGTAGTGTAATATTACAACGTGTGTTAGCACAGCTCAGCAGAAATATAGGTCAACTAGGAGAAATAGTAACTAATAGACAATGCATCTGACAAAATATAGACCATCGTTGTGTTAGTCACAACGATGTGTTAGGATGCAACTTCTCGACAGATGAGGAAGCTCAGCAGCAGCCTCTTAGCTCAGTAAAGAGTGTTGGTTAAAACTGCACCCACAGCATATCATAGCTGAAAGCACTGACCTCGTGTCTTAAGAGGAGAAGTAAGCCAAGGTGGACCACACTAACTGTGACCGGTTACTGCCTTGGAAGAGACCAGTAGACCATGAAGAGAAAATTGTCCCGAGTACTGAACATCTGGAAAAACTCATCATACGCAGATATTATGAACACAGGGGTGGACGAGCAGCACCCCATCAAGACAGAACAGTCACAGACTCAGCAGGTCGAGTCTGGGAAAACAAGTCAGCGTAGAACGGAACCCAGGAGCAGTGAGGAGGCGGCACCACAGCTGCATCTCTGCCCAGAGCGCGTCTGGGCGCGGGAGCCCAGGAGAAGCCTCCAGCTAGGGGGACAGGTGGGTGCCTTTTGGGAAATAGTTCTTCATGGAGAGAGACTCCAGGGTCCAGACAAAGAGGAAAACAGCGAGAGCTGGAAACGGCTGACTTCGACAGAAAGCGAAGCACAGGCACCCCGTTGTAGACTCAGCAAACACGGGTGCCCGAGGTGGCGCAGGCGGTAAAGCCCAGCACCCGCCGCCTTTGCCAGTTTGCTTCTCGGCGCTCCCCAGGTCACACTCACCGGTGTGGGTCACACCCCAGGCATTTTCCCTCCTTCTGGGAGCCCAATTGCGTCTTCCTTTGGCCGAGATCGCACTTTAAGTCGGGGGTAAAATTTGCAGTCTCAAGGGGTGGATTCTCAGAACTCGTCATTAAACAAATTGTCCCATTGTCTTCCCACCCTCTGAATAACTCACCTCCCTCGGGTTCAAAAGAGAACGGCTGGAAAACTTTCAGCCAGTGTCGTGCAGTGCGAGCAGGCAGAGGAGAGGACGGGGACACGGATTTCCTCCAAGGAGAGACTTTTCTTTCTTGAATTTGAAATTAAAATTAGAAAGTGTCCAAAAATTACCAGGTAATTCCCTTGGGGAAAGCTCAAAGCATCAACTCTCTGTTACGTTCTTCTCTGGCATATCTTTGGAAATTTTATAGCAGTTGTCCAGGGGTCCGGCGAAGCCGGCCTGTTTGAGGAAAGAGAGAGGTTACTGGCTTTCATCTTACTGACCCACGATAGGAGGACAGAGAGCCCTCAGTGCAGCTGGCCAGTGCATTTGTTGACATGGGGGCGGGGGGTCCTGTCTTTGGCCTCTAGAGGAGGAGGGCGCACAGCCCAGGCCCAGTGAGAAGTGGAGAAATGTAGGTGGCGAGTATAAACCACCTGTGAGCCGTGGCCAGGAAAGGGGGAAGAGAGCAAAAGTATAGTTTCAAGGGCAGGTGAACAACAGAGGTGAAAAAATCTGTGATTGAATATATAGGAACAGAAAGCACTTCAAAAAGAACGACAGTGTTCAGGGTGGACATTTGAACGCACAAGACGTGCCTGTGTCGTTCATACAGAGAAGCTACACTCTAAGCCCAGTCACCTGTATTTCCCATGCCTTGGCTACCTGGGTTCATAAATCAAGGGGCAGAGGCAGAAGTGGGGCCACCGGATGCGACTCCGGGGAGCCACGTGGGGGCTTCTGGTGTTCCACGAGTCTGTTGAGATATAACTGGCACTTAGGAGTTTCAGTGTACGACACGTTGGCTCGATATATCTGGTGGGAGACGGTCAGCACAGTAAATCTGGTAACATCATTCCAACGTACCAGGTTTCATTTAACACATTTTGTTAATTTGGCGCTTGTATTTAATATATATGCTTCCTTTGCAAGTTAGAGAACCACTATTTTTACTAGCTGTTTACCTTTTTAATCTCTCAGGGAGATACCCAGGAGAGGCACCACCAGGTGGCATGATAGACCTGTTTCCAAACCTTTGAGAAACCTCTGTGCTGTATTTCATTGTGACTGAGGCCGCCCACCTTCCCACCATGCGGGACCCAAGCAGTGCACAGGGTTGATCTCTTCCCATATCCTCACCAACACTGGTTTCTGGTCTTTTTGATATGGGTAATTTTCAAAGGTGTGGGGTGATAGTTTTGATAAGTTATGACAGTGCTTCTGTTATTTATTTAAAGTTGGGTCATTTATTTTCTTCTTGATGAGTTGTTTGACTAGTTTATAAATCTTAACTGTGTTTTGTGTGCAAATATTCCCTCCCACTCAGTAGAGTGTCTTTTATTTTTGATAGTTTGTTCACTGTCCAAAAACCTTTCAGTTAGGTATAGTCCTGCTTTCGTTTCCCTTGCCATTGGAGTCCCCAAAGACATCACTGAAAACAACATCATGGAGAATTTTTTCTTTGTATTTTATAGCTTCCCTCTATGTATTTTATGGTTTCAAGTCCTACCTCCAAAGTGTTAAGTATGGTATTAGTGGTTTAATCTCATTCTCTTGCATGTAGCTGTCTAATTTTCCCAACACTATTTATTGAAGAGAGATTTTCTTTTCTCCATTTTACACTCTTGACATCTGTGTCATACATTAAATGCCCGTATAAGTTACGGATTTGCTTCCAGTTCTCACTTCCATTCTGACAGTGTGTCCAGTACCATTCTCGTTTGATTACTATAATGTTGTAGCATAATCCAAAATCTGGGGGATGTGGTGTCTTCACTTTTCTTGTTTCTGTGTCAGGGTTGCTTTGACTATTTGTGGTCTTTTGTGTTTCCATGTGAATTTCAATTATGTTGTCTCTATCTGAAGGATGTCATGGAAACTTTTAAAGGAATTGCATTCAATCTGTATACTCCTTTGCATAAGATGACCAATTGGACAAGTTAATTATTCCAATCCCATGAGAAAGTAATGCCTTTCTATTTCTTTATATCTTCTTGCATTTCTTTTAGTATGTCTTATAATTTTCATTGTAGAGGTCTCTCATTTCCTTTGTCAATTCCAGGCATTTTACTGTTTTTGATGCAGTTTGAACGGTATTGCTTTCTTCATTTTTTTCATCACCTCAGTTGTTTGCATGTAAAAGTGCAATAGGTTTTTATATATTGACTTTGTGGCCAACTCTGCTGTAGAAAAAACAAAATTTATTTTGTTTCTAATAGTACTTTTAGTGAAGTTTTAGGGTTTTCTATGTACATTATAACATCATCTGCAAAAAATGATAGTTATACTTCTTCTTTCCCAACCTATATTCCTTTATATCTTTCTGTTGCCTAGTGGCTCTAAGACTTCCAGTTTTAGCGTAAGTAGTAGTGGTGCAAGTGGACATTATTTTCTTGGACCTCATATTAGAGGAGAAGTTTACA